TCTCGCTCGCGTTCTACGTCGACTCGAATTCGATGAGTCGAAATTTTACGGAGTCGCGCCGGTTGGACGAAAGTAGCAACGAAGGCAAATTTATTCGTTAACATTGCGTAAGATTATCGTTTGCATCCGAGGCTATGGAAAAACTAGTCGAATCTGATCTGATCTTTCAAATTTTCTTAATGTACGAACTTTGTCCAACAAAGTTGTCCGAATACGTAGTATACGTTACGATCAAACAAAAAAAACAAACACTAGTCTCTACAAAGGCAACACTCCCATGGATCTTGAGTGGCCATACGTATCTGAATGTGATTGGATAACCTAAAACTCTCGACTGGTCTTAAAACTTGAAAGTCTTGATTACTTGGAAGTTTATCGACAGAGGATTCTATCACGTCGCGGTGTATCATTAATGGATCAAACACGAGCTGCCTCGGCATTTGACGCAGCAGCGGTGTTCACTTATACGTTCATCAAGGATCTTTCAACACTCAATCCAGATGACCATCGATCACTCGACAACAGTTCTAAGATAATAAAATCAATTGAATTTTTTTGTTACACTTGCATCTGCAAGGGCTCGACGTCGAATAGGCGGGCTCAGGGTCAGAAGGTTGGTCTCGAACATGTGTGTGGGAGTTTTGTGGAAAGTTGGGCTTGGTTTAATTGATTGAAACGTCTGTTGTGGAAGGTGGATCGTACCTTTCTTCAACGTGTAAACGGGTACATACGTCGTTCGAGTGGGGATGCGACACGACCGCTAGGTGAATCGGAGAAAGTGTTTAGTCAGCGTTCCTTTGTTTCTTCGGGGCGAGATGACTTGCAGTCTATCGCGGTAATGAAACGTTCCGGTGAAATTAGCGATGCTTTCTTGCCTGGAACTTGCTTATCACCGTTTTTCTCGTTTCTCACGAATTCTCGCGATGAAATCCGAGAAGCTAGGAAATTTCTTCCAAACTTGACGTTAAGATGTATGCATGTGACGCAAGTGTCTCTTATTTTTTCTCCTTTTTTTT